ACATTAGGACCTTGTATGCTTTCACAAATGAAACTTTGGCCAAGCACTCATATGCTAACTCTCTCCAAGCAACTCTAAGATATGGTATTTTGATTAGTCTTGTACAAGGACTTGGGCTTGGCTTTACATATGGGCTCGCGATATGTTCCTGTGCTTTGCAACTTTGGGTTGGTAGGTTCCTAGTTACTCATAACAAGGCTCATGGTGGTGAAATTGTAACGGCACTCTTTGCTGTAATATTGAGTGGACTGTAAGTTGCCCAATCTCTCTTTGTATGTCTAGAGTTGCAATATAGTTTGTGTTAATACCTCTCACATGGGTTGTCTTCTTGTCATTTAGCGGACTGAATCAAGCAGCAACAAACTTCTATTCGTTCGATCAAGGTCGCATTGCCGCTTATAGACTTTTCGAGATGATAAGCAGATCCTCCTCCACTGTTAATCAAGAGGGAAACAGCTTAGCTTCAGTCCAAGGAAATATTGAGTTTCGGAATGTGTATTTTAGCTATCTTTCACGTCCTGAGATTCCTATCTTGAGTGGCTTTTACCTGACTGTTCCTGCAAAAAAGACCGTAGCACTTGTTGGCAGAAATGGCTCCGGGAAAAGCAGTATCATCCCACTTATGGAGAGATTTTATGATCCAACCTTAGGTATGATGCCATACTGTTTCCTGTTATGTTGTAAGCTGATGCGATGATGTCTATTGAAGCATAATAAATTTGTTTCACTTGCTGATATTAGCACATTTCATTTATGGTGCAGGAGAAGTGCTCCTAGATGGAGAAAATATAAAAAATTTGAGGCTGGAATGGCTGAGAAGCCAAATTGGACTCGTCACCCAGGAGCCTGCTTTGCTTAGTCTAAGTATAAGAGACAATATTGCTTATGGACGTGATGCTACACCAGATCAGATTGAAGAGGCTGCAAAAATAGCTCATGCACATACATTCATCAGTTCATTGGAGAAAGGATATGCAACTCAGGTGAAGTCATAGAACACGAAAGTCTCTAAAATGGTTTGTGCCCACTCTTCTCAAATCATTGCTACTTTTTTCAGGTCGGTAGGGCAGGCATATCATTGTCGGAGGAGCAGAAAATCAAACTTTCTATTGCTCGAGCTGTGCTTTTAAATCCAACAGTTCTCTTGCTTGACGAGGTCACTGGGGGGCTTGATTTTGAAGCTGAGAGGGCAGTTCAAGAGGCCTTGGATCTCCTCATGCTGGGCCGGTCGACAATAATAATAGCTCGACGTCTTAGTCTTATCAGAAACGCTGATTACATAGCTGTTATGGAGGAAGGTCAGCTTGTGGAAATGGGTACACATGATGAATTGTTGACTTTAGATGGATTGTATGCCGAACTTCTCAAATGTGAAGAAGCTGCGAAGCTTCCAAGGAGGTATGGCGTGACAACTATACTTAGAACTGCTTATTTCATATCCGCAAGAATGATCACTTTTGCAAAACTTGCTTGCTTATGGAATGATCACTTTTGTCCAGAATGCCAGTTAAAAATTACATGGATGCTTTCCAAGTTGAAAAAGATTCCTCTGCTAGTCACAGCTTCCAAGAGCCGACCTCTCCAAAAATGGCCAAGTCTCCCTCTCTCCAAAGAGCTCATGGTATCATGCGTCCTCCTGATGGCACCTATAGCTCACATGAGTCTCCAAAAGTTCAGAGTCCCGCGTCAGAGACAATGATGGAAAATGGCCTCTCTTTGGATGGAACTGAAAAGGAACCAACAATTAAAAGGCAAGATAGCTTTGAAATGAGACTTCCCGACTTACCCAAGATTGATATCCATCCCACACATCAACAAAAATCAAATGGATCTGACCCTGAATCCCCCGTGTCTCCACTTTTAACCTCCGATCCCAAAAACGAGCGCTCACATTCTCAGACTTTCAGTAGACCCCACAGTCACTCTGATGAGTTTCCTCCTAGACTGAAGGATTCAAAGGATGCAAAAAATCGCGAAGCACCATCCTTTCACAGACTTGCAGAACTTAGCTTTGCTGAGTGGCTATATGCTGTGTTAGGAAGCATCGGTGCTGCTATGTTTGGCTCATTCAATCCACTTCTAGCTTATGTGATTGCTTTGATCGTTACTGCTTATCATAGAAGGGATGAACACTCTCACTTGCGGCATGAGGTAGACAAATGGTGTTTGATAATCGCCTGCATGGGTATAGTCACAGTAATTGCGAATTTCTTGCAACATTTCTATTTTGGTATTATGGGGGAGAAAATGACCGAAAGGGTTCGGAGAATGATGTTCTCAGGTAAATGTTTAATGTATTACCAGTTTCCTGTAACGAAAATGTTCACCAATTTGGTATCAACTTCCTGTGGATAAAAGTCACTAGCTTATTTTGTGCTCTTTCTCTTACAGCAATGCTTCGAAATGAAGTTGGATGGTTTGATGACGAGGAAAACAGTGCTGACACATTATCAATGCGATTGGCCAATGATGCCACATTTGTGAGAGCCGCATTTAGCAACCGGCTTTCAATATTTATACAAGATAGTGCTGCCGTTATTGTGGCTATTGTCATTGGGATGTTATTGCAATGGCGATTGGCTCTGGTGGCATTGGCGACCCTGCCCATTCTCTCTATTTCTGCAGTTGCCCAGGTGTGTATTTTTGTTTATGCCTCTGAACTTCCATATAAAGTTTCTAAAGCACAACTTGGATAGTTTTGAGGGACTTCAGGAAAAGCTACCATGCCGCCATCTGCCAGCCCTAGACTTCAGGATTAGGTTTTGGGTCTGATTGCAATTCGGAAGCAAGTGGCCTGCCATTGTTACACTTGATTCTTTATGTTGATATTCATCAATTGATTGATTGTTTTCTATTTTAATTTGGTGTTTTTATTTCCATATGACTTGCATAATTGTACTCATATAAGTTCTAAACTCGATTATCTGGTGGATATGGCAATTACTGATTTAGTTCGAGTACCACAATCCTCTATATGATGATGCAATGCTGATGTCTTGCGGCTTTCTTTAGTCCGAATCATTGGACCGACATCTCAAAGCTGAATTTAATTGTTGCAGAAACTGTGGCTAGCTGGATTCTCAAAGGGAATCCAGGAGATGCACCGAAAGGCTTCATTGGTTCTTGAGGATGCTGTTAGAAACATCTACACTGTTGTAGCTTTCTGCGCTGGCAACAAAGTAATGGAACTCTACAGGTTGCAGCTTCAGAAAATATTCAAACAGAGCTTTTTGCATGGTATGGCCATCGGGTTTGCATTTGGCTTTTCGCAGTTTCTTCTCTTTGCCTGTAATGCGCTGCTTCTCTGGTACACTGCATATGCTGTGAAAGAGGATCACATGAGTTTGTCCACTGCGCTCAAGGGATACATGGTTTTCTCTTTCGCAACTTTCGCATTGGTGGAGCCTTTTGGGTTGGCACCCTACATACTCAAGCGTCGAAAGTCTCTCATCTCAGTATTCGAGATTATAGACAGGGTGCCAAAGATTGAGCCTGATGAGAATTCGGCACTAAAACCTCCAAATGTCTATGGTAGCATTGAATTGAAGAATGTTGATTTCTGTTATCCAACCCGTCCAGAACTGTTGGTATTAAGCAATTTCAGTCTCAAAGTGAATGGGGGTCAAACTGTAGCAGTAGTAGGAGTATCAGGGTCGGGAAAGAGCACCATCATATCTCTGATTGAAAGATTCTATGATCCAGTTGCTGGTCAGATTATGCTGGACGGCCGAGATCTGAAACTTTATAACCTCAGATGGTTGAGAAGTCACATGGGCCTTGTTCAGCAGGAACCGATTATCTTCTCAACAACTATTAGGGAAAATATAATCTATGCCAGGCACAATGCTACTGAAGCTGAAATGAAAGAAGCCGCCCGAATAGCAAATGCTCATCATTTCATCAGCAGTCTACCTCATGGTTATGACACTCACGTGGGAATGAGGGGCGTGGATCTGACGCCAGGGCAGAAGCAAAGAATTGCTATTGCTCGGGTGGTGCTCAAGAATGCACCGATTTTGCTACTGGACGAAGCTAGTTCTTCCATTGAATCAGAATCCAGTCGGGTGGTGCAAGAGGCACTAGATACACTGATAATGGGGAACAAGACGACCATCTTGATTGCTCATAGAGCTGCAATGATGAGACATGTGGACAATATCGTGGTTCTAAATGGAGGACGGATTGTGGAAGAAGGGAGCCATGATGCCTTGATGGCAAAGAACGGGTTGTATGTCAGACTGATGCAGCCTCACTTTGGCAAAGGCATTCGTCAGCATCGTCTTATTTAGGGTTTGGTTTTATCCGTCAGTAGTTGTCTGAAATCTTGATTTTGGTACTACATACAGCTGGAGTCCCACTCTTGTTACACTTATAAAGGAAAATGCAACAGCAGGAGCTATATGAGTTGTGAAATGTCGATTCGATGACAGTGATATCCAGAGCAGACGGACAGTTAGACATGTATGATTATATGAAGAAGGCTTGCAGCAATGTGTATCGAGAGCAATGGGCGGTTGTGCAGTGGGTGGGGGAAGCTGTTGAGTTCAGACATTAGGAATTAGGAAGGGTAGTGATTTTGAAGTTTTAGGGCGATGGTCGGTTGGTCTGCTCAGGGTGTGGCCAGATGAAGAGTATTCTTTGTGGAGGCTTGGAGTGGTGTTGTTAGGTTTATGAACCAATGGTTTCTTGCCTCCATCGTTATATATATATTTTGATTTGTTGATTATTACATCGCGGGAAATGGATCGGACCAGAGGAAGAGTAGTGTAATTCTAGTCTTAGTGATTGTGTTTGGTTTATCTCGTTCGTTAGATTTTGAAATCGTTTATGGTCTTGATTCTTGATCTAATTTGGTAATGCAGCAGAGAGAGGAGACTAAGTCTTCTGAAAGACGAGCAGCTGGGGAAGGAACACTTTGGTTATGTTTTCGGGTCACTGTAAATTCTTTTACCATACTGGAAGGGGTAAATTAAGGATGGGGGAGGGAAAGAGGAGGAAGGGCATTTGTTGTAATCTTTTTTCTCTGTAAATAGCTACGTTGATAATTCTATAGCTTTTCAACATTCCTCAACTATGACATTGGTTGATGCTAATTGACTTATTATGATGTAAGAACATCATTAGTGCTCCATGGACATGCTGCAGGAATGTGTAAATGGCTTGGCTTGTGTCAGGTTTGGTATTTCTACAGGTCAGGTGCCCTGTAAATTCGTAATAGCCGCCGGTCCATCTGCATAATTGGATTCGATACACAAAATTTTGTATCGTACAGAGCAGTTTTCACATGGAAATGGTGTAACTGTGGACTGGGGTTCATACATTGAAGAATCAAATGTAGAGCAACTTGAAAGAGTCTGCAACAACTTTGAGCTGGTTTCGAACCCTTTTCCACCGTCTCTCGTTCGCTCCCACGATCAGCGTGTAATACCTCCCTGCAACAAGCGACGTAAAGCTTCATGAACACCTTGACGAAAACCAGTATCAACCATGGAAACCCCCTCCGCGATGAAGAAACTCACCGTTGCCAATAGCAATGGTGGCGAAGGAGACGCTGGAGTAGTTAGGAGACGTGAGCTCGTACTCGAACGTGTAGTAATTCTTCCCGTCCACGCTTTTCTGCAGGAACGCGCGAAACCAACAGGAAGGAAAAGCAGAACTGTCAGAAACACATTTATATATGGTTTCTATTATTATATTAGGTAGGAGAATTATTATTATGGTTAGTAGAGATTTAGTCCAATTAGGTTATTCGTTAGGGTTTTCCAGTATTTCCTATATATATGTACTTTGGGTTTACGTCATAATCAATGAAGAACAATATTAAGCAAAGTCTCTTAAACCCTAGTTTATCCTCTCAACTCCTAATTTCTCGTCTCATCCTAGTCCAAGGCCTCGGCCGATTCCCAATTCTATTATGTTCTTCTCATCTAAATCCCTAATTCTTTCTCTCAAACCCTAAATCCCTAATTATCACGAGTGCCGAAGATCAGTATCGAGAATCCCTAGAAGCGTGGTTCTCACAGTGGTATCAGAGCCCGGTTGCAGGCACTCGTACCAGAACCATGTCGAGACTCGAAGAGCTCGTGGCCAGCGAACTCACAAAGATGTTGAAGTCGAAGCTGGAAGCGCTGTGGAAGAACGAGGTTGCCTCGTCCATGACGCTGTCCGGGAACAGCACGCGGGCAGCCCCATCCAAGGCCGCAGCCGCCGCGTCCAAGGAGCCGATGAAGGAAGACTCACCGCCATTGTTGAAGGCTGCCGTCGTAGACATGGATTTCGAAGAGTGGTTGGAACAACCTGCGTTTCCCGTCGAGCTCGAGAAGAGGAGGGAGATCGAGGAGCAGGTCCACCATGAGCCTTCGCCGCCGGCGCGAATCATGCGGGTGACGTCGCCCACTCCAGCCACGGCAATGACAAGCGAGGCGCCGGAGAAGAAGGAGAGGGGCGACTCGTCGCCGGTGAACGAGGACAGGCGGGCGCCGCCAAAGAAGGAACCGACGACGGAGGACGAGTCGGAGAAGAAGGATGGTGGCGGGTTGCCGCCAGAGGAGAGGACGCTGAAGCCAACCGAGGAGGCAGGGTGGCCACCGTGCCGGCGGTCTGGCGCGTCGCCGTCGCGAAAGGAAGTAATGGAGAAGAAGGAGGAGGGCGGCGTCCCTCCACTCCTCGTCAACCCTAGGCAGGAGCTCTCTTGTTTGGGCCAAGTGGTTCAGATTGCTTATGGTAATGGGCCAAGAGGAGTGGGCTTTCTAATGGAGAAAGTGGACAAGAGTGCCAGGAGGAAAGAACTTGATGGGCCCGTTTCGGGCCAATTAGAGCAGCAGAATGGGCCACGAATTTACTCTTTATTTGGATCTGTTTTGCAGGAGAAGAGTGAGGCCAATGTGGGTAGTGTTTTAAAGAAGATGGACTTGGCTGGTGGGCTTTCAAAGGAGCTTAGCCCAAACTCACTAAGAGAAGAGTTCTTTCACTCTTATTTCATGAACTTCGAAAAAGATGGAGAAGAATTGTTTGGCTATGGAGAACGCGACATGTGTCATGTGGAGAGACAAGGGATGAGGAAAGTGGAAGTTGCGCGAGAAGAGTTCATGCAAGGGATCGAGCGCAATTGGAAACGAAGAAAGCGGAAGGTCAAGGAGGTAGAAGTCAACTACAACCTTGAGGTCAAGGTTGTTCTCAAGGGGGATGGATTGTCAGAAACACATTTATATATGGTTTCTATTATTATATTAGGTAGGAGAATTATTATTATGGTTAGTAGAGATTTAGTCCAATTAGGTTATTCGTTAGGGTTTTCCAGTATTTCCTATATATATGTACTTTGGGTTTACGTCATAATCAATGAAGAACAATATTAAGCAAAGTCTCTTAAACCCTAGTTTATCCTCTCAACTCCTAATTTCTCGTCTCATCCTAGTCCAAGGCCTCGGCCGATTCCCAATTCTATTCTGTTCTTCTCATCTAAATCCCTAATTCTTTCTCTCAAACCCTAAATCCCTAATTATCACGAGTGCCGAAGATCAGTATCGAGAATCCCTAGAAGCGTGGTTCTCACCCGCATGATTCGCGCCGGCGGCGAAGGCTCATGGTGGACCTGCTCCTCGATCTCCCTCCTCTTCTCGAGCTCGACGGGAAACGCAGGTTGTTCCAACCACTCTTCGAAATCCATGTCTACGACGGCAGCCTTCAACAATGGCGGTGAGTCTTCCTTCATCGGCTCCTTGGACGCGGCGGCTGCGGCCTTGGATGGGGCTGCCCGCGTGCTGTTCCCGGACAGCGTCATGGACGAGGCAACCTCGTTCTTCCACAGCGCTTCCAGCTTCGACTTCACCATCTTTGTGAGTTCGCTGGCCACGAGCTCTTCGAGTCTCGACATGGTTCTGGTACGAGTGCCTGCAACCGGGCTCTGATACCACTGTGAGAACCCTCTTGTTAAGGATTCTAGAGACTGATCTTCGGCACTCGTGAGATTGGGATTTAGGGTTGAGATTAGGGATTTAGATAGGAGAATTGGGGATTAGGGATTGAAGAACAGAATTGGGGTTGAGATAAAAGAATGGCCGGCGGCCTTTAGGGAAGAGAGGGACGATATTTGAGAGGGATTAGAGACTAGAGTTTGAGAGATATTTCTGTGATATTATTCTTGACTGATTATGACGTAAACCTAAAGTACATATATATAGGAAATAAACCCAAAACCCTAACAATTAACCCTAATCTACTCGGTCACCCTAGCCGCCTAACCCGAATAACACTATTAATTATATTATTATTCTAATAATATATATTGCTAACATTCCACCCTCCTTGAAAGCGACCTTGTCCTCAAGGTTGCAGTTAACTTCCGTCTTCTTGACCTTCCACTTTCTACGTTTCCAGTTGCGCTCAATTCCATGAATGAACTCTTCTCGCACCAGCTCAACTTTCCTCGACTCTCCACCCACGTGACATATGTCACGTTCTTCATAGTCGAACAATTCTTCGTCCTTTCTTTCGAAGTCCACAAAATAAGAGTCGGAGAATAGTTCTTCCTTGTGTTCTAGCTCGAGATCTTCGAAGGAATGCTCCATAAATTCATCCATGGGTTTGGTGGTGAAAACAACCCATAACTTTACCCAACCTTCCTTTCCTACTTCCTTGGGTAGGCCCACATTAGCTTGTAAGAATGAGTTGTGGCCCAAACCCAAGTCCAGCCTCTCCTTACTCCTAACTTCGCGTGGGCTTGTCTCCTCCAAGAGCCCACCTTTTAAGTCCACCAAGCTTTCTTCTTTCTTTAAATGACTTCTCTGTAAAATTAGCCCAATAAGATAGCCATTGTTGGGCTCGATTTCTTTAAGACTTGGCCCATCAATGAACATAAACTTCCCCTTATGATGCGGCCCAATTGTTTCAAAGGAACCCACCACTTCCTTCTCCTTTGCCAGCCCATGGTCAAGACTGATGGGCCCAAGCTCTGTAGACTCTGGCCCACTAAGGTTGTAGGGTTGAAACTCTTGGAAGGGAAAGAGAGGCAACGAAGCGCATGAGGGAGGAGCATCGCCGCCCACCGTCTTTGTCTCCCTCGTCCCTTCTTTTCCCGACGGGCACCCCGGCTCCGGTGATTTTCTCATCGAACGGCGACCACCACGCCGACAGGGAGGAGGGCCCAAGTCCGTCATCTTCTTCGTTCGTTCCTCCACCATCTCCGTCGTCGACTCGCTCCCGGGCAGCGGAGCTGCCACTTCTTCCGACGACAGCCTCGCCGTCTTCTTCGTCGGCGGCTCCTTCTTCGGCGACGCTCGCTCCTCCTCGTTCTTCCACACCTCTTCCAGTTTCAACTTCAACATCTTTGTGAGTTCGTTGATTGAGAGCCTTTTGAATTTCGACATGGTTGCGGTACGAGTGCCTGCAACCGGGCTCTGATACCACTGAAAGAACCCTCTTGTTAAGGATTCTAGAGACTGATCTTCGGCACTCGTGAGATTGGGATTTAGGGTTGAGATTAGGGATTTAGATAGGAGAATTGGGGATTAGGGATTGAAGAACAGAATTGGGGTTGAGATAAAAGAATGGCCGGCGGCCTTTAGGGAAGAGAGGGACGATATTTGAGAGGGATTAGAGACTAGAGTTTGAGAGATATTTCTGTGATATTATTCTTGACTGATTATGACGTAAACCTAAAGTACATATATATAGGAAATAAACCCAAAACCCTAACAATTAACCCTAATCTACTCGGTCACCCTAGCCGCCTAACCCGAATAACACTATTAATTATATTATTATTCTAATAATATATATTGCTAACAAGAACTTTGAAGAACTTCTACTGATAAAATCTTCTCTTCATCTTCATCCACTTGAAACATTTCCACCATTTGTATCTACGCAATGAAAAAAACAAAAACAAAACCAACCTCTTCCATGGAGTAAATGGTTGGCCTTTGAGTTGGAGCAGCATAAACTTTGCTGATCAAATCGGATATGACCTGCTCCATTGGACCCAGTTCATGGATATCCTTCTTCTTCGTCGGTATGAACCTCACCCTCACATTCTGGATCTGCAGGTACCTGTCCTTGAACGCCGAATCGTGTCCCCTGAAATCGAAATCCTGATTCCTCCCACCACAATTACACCAGAACAACAGTGAATACAGAATGCTGCCACTAAGTTCATCGAATCACAAAATGGAGGGAAGATTGTCAGCATTAGGAAGACTCACTCTCCAATCTGATGGGTAGATGTAGGAATACCCATCTTCAAGATCCACATAACTTTGGTACTTCTTCATCATCTCTGCCAAAAGCATCAGAATTGTGGCATGAAAAACCAGGCCAGAGAAGATGAACTGCAACAGGCCAAGTTCAGAGTATGTACCTTCACCAGAAGCAGAGTTCAGAGGGATTAGAGTACTTGTGGTGAGTGTTCCTCCAAGCCCGAAAATCAGTTGTCTTCTCTTCAAATTGCCTTCGGGGAAAAAAAAACCCGAATTCATTCCCGGAATTCAGTGAATGGAAATGGGTTAGACTGGGAAATTGCCTGAAGGACAAATACTATTTCTCACTCACTACTAGATTCTCCAAGGAAGGACGGCTCGGATGAGAAACTGACTGATGGGTCGTTGCTGGGCGATGATGATAAGGAAGCAACTGGTACCCTTTTGGTTATTGCTGCAGCGGTTGAAACCAAGCTCATGGAGAGTGATGAAGCTACAGCCATTGTCGTTGCTTTGTTTCTTGGCCAGTGATCTTTCTCATTCGCTCGCTCTCTTTATCTATTTTCTTTGTTCGTTTTAAATTGAAGGGGAAATTATACTTGAGAAATTTTACAATGCTATATAGTATTGGTGCTATAGGATTTTGTCTTTATGGTACAACTTAAAATTGTACATTTACGTTATGGTACAACTTCAGATTGTACCTATACTTTTTGTACAAATTCCTTTATGGTACAACTTGAACTTGTACCTTTATGTGATGGTACAACTTCAAGTTGTAAAGTTGTACCATAACATAATGATACAAATTGCTTTATGGTACAACCTAAACTTATACATTTAATGTTATGGTACAACTTTAAGTTGTACATTAAAGCACCAATACTATATAGCATAGTAGAAGTGCTCATTATACTTTTATTTGTGTTCGTTTATAAAAGAGAAACGGATAACTTGAGGTTTGAGGGCAGATCCAGCCAGCAAGAGGCCATGTAATTGTAAGGCCTGTTTCAGTTTTTATCTACGTGCATACTTTTATCAGTTTTTATGAGTACTAGTTCTCAGCCCGCGCTCCGCCGCGTGTTAAGTTTGGCTTGAGTAATTTCATGGATTATGATATATATATTGTCAGGTTACACGGGGCTGTTCAATTATGGTACCTATCAGGCCTCATCGAACATCATAGTTATCATAGCAAGGATGCTGCCATTGTAGATGCATTATAGTTGGGTGCACGTAACTGGGTCGCGGAATTAATGTTCCAAAGCATAAAAACAAAAGATAGTGCTTAACAGCCTTGTGAAATCCGAAATCCTAATCAAATCTAAACATTGTTTTGTCCTCGTTGGACCTTGAAAATAAAAACTTAGTTAGGGAAGGAGGATGATAGAGGTAGCAAACACGTAGCAGGGGCTCTTTCTATCATTGGTGCTGACGATCACTTGTCGATTCTTGAGGTGTGCCAAAGTGTTGAAACTCTGACGTGAGGTTTGGCTGGTGCGGTCCTGTTCTTGAGATCCGAGGAACCGATGTACAGTTCTCCTGCAAACATTCTGCTGTATTTTTTTATCAGCAACGCCTTAGCCGCATCCGCCTCGAGTTTCATGTACTTGCTTGGCGTCATTCCGATTATTGAGAGAGTCGCCTCATGGTCCAGTATGGCATCAATGTCATCAGATCCTTGTTCACATTTGACTTCAAGCTGATAGTGCAAGCTGGACATAAATGTAAGCGAGAAGTTATGTTAGTTCCTGTGTGGATCAATTAGCAGATAATAGATGCGCATTGAAATAGTAAACATACTCTGGCCATTCCTCAGTTGTCCTGCAAATGCTTTTGCGAAATTTCATCTGTGTTATGTGGAACTTGGCACGGTAAAGCACCTAACACGAACGGTATACTTTAGTTAGCAATGTTTGTTTATAAATTGTAACTGCTAGATGTAGCTATTTATGATGCATTTTGTCCACGACTAACCTTGTGGCAGCTCTGATCAGATGCAAGCATAGCTTTGATGTCAGCAAGTGTTTTCTTCTCAACTATTGTTCGAAGGCAGCCTGTCTTCTTACTGGTGTTAGAGTCCATGTAGTAGACCTGCCTGCGACTATAAAGAAAACTGGTTGTAGCAAAATAATACAAATTGTTAGCTTTGTTCTGGTCGGTTGGCAGTATATATGAATCGAAGAATGAATAACATTTGTTCAGTCAGAAGTGTACATGTGCATTATTTCTTTGAATATGCCCGCATAAGATCTGATTATTAACTGACTGGCAGGAGTTGACTCAAAACGATATTTATATTTCTGGGTGGACAGAGGCGGCACTCGAATAGCAGCTTTGATTGTAACAATGAGGGGCAGATGAGCCTCAACTGTTGGCGCATTCTCTAAGAACTTCGGGATGTCATATCCTCTATACAGCACAGATGCCTTGGCACCACTGATCGTGACAGATATATGTAAGACCGATGGTTCATATAATTAACAAAGTAGTGTATTATTCTATAGAACGCACCTGACATCCTGTATGACCAGGTTGAATTCTCGGAGGATACCACGAACTGTTGTAGGAACACTAATACGCCTGACGCATGCAGTGATATCTGTGGTTACCAGGAGAGTTTGTCATTTTATAACTTACGTCTATTTTAGCATAAAAAACTTAGATAGTCACGCGTAACCTGTATGATAATCAATGGTACTTGTTTGAAGAGGTACTATCGAAAAAGCCATCCCAATGTCCCAGCCAATTGGTAATCATGGCTCGTCTGGATCTTCTTCAATTCTAGGGATGTTTTGTTCGGGAGTTATGTGTATCCTTAACTCTCCTGCAACAATCCTAGGATTATCCCTTGCTGCTATAGCCACCACCGAATCAAAACGATAAAGGTTCCCGACTTTAATCCTGCGAGAAATCTCACTGATGTCCTTTTCATCAACCATCGACTCGATCAATCTTGCCTATAAGATAAACAGTTTAGCAATCTCAAACTACATGGTACATTGGTCTAAAAGAACTTATGAATAAATTATGCAATTCTGTAACTTAATTGTAAATGAACCTTCTTGTCTTTCCAAATCATGTGCATGCTGACGTTTTTAAGCCCGGGTGCCTCTCGGAATTCAAGCCACGTCATCACAGGCCGCGCAATGACTATGCGAGTGTTTATGCCCAAACGCAAGCCCCGAAATGGCATGCAAGTTTCAATCGGATCTATAAGACAATAAAGGGGAACGAAATGGTTTTTTTTATGTTTCTTGCAGAGGTATCGAGATTCTTGGGAGGATTTGTTTACGAAAGTGAAAGTTCTGACCTTTGATATCGGTGGGGACCATGTGAGCGCCATCTGTTGTCTGGCGGTTCTTGCCTAAACTCTCCATGGCAAGTGGGGACTCTGTACGAACAATACAAAAACTGACCAGAAATGTTGTTTCAGCAGTAAAAGCGGTGAAGAAGAGAAAGCCGTGGACTTACCTTTGCTTTAATGTTTGTCTGGTAGTTTCGATGGTGGGGCTTCTTCGGCAGAGAAAGGTTGACGAAGATGTGGACGCCGGTTGTCGATGGTTGATGAGGGAGGATAGGGTTTTAAGGGGGATCGCTTTGTCTGAACGGGCCTGGTTTATGGGCTTTTATTTAAATAAATCATGTTTGTGACTATAAAGGCTTTGCATTGGTATTGTACTGTGGGCTTGAATAACGGGCCTGTATGTTTATTGATTCACTCTGTATCGTCCCATGGTTTTGTGGATTGTGGTCCAGGCAAGACAATTCGTTCAAATTTGAGTTTTTCTATTTTACATTTAGATAACGATGGTTCTAATAACGGTTCTAATAACTCAGATCTTCCATTTATATGATAATATAAACTGCAACATGTGTTTGAGGAACTGATCGCCAAAAGTGAAGTTGAATATAGTTCTTCATCATTCATTATTTGAACGCATGATCAAGACAAAACATTCACCTCTCTGAACTATTGAGGTATAAACATCAGGGACTTCCATATGGACTGAAAAGAATAACCAGCGGGCAGTCAATGGTCAAAGTGAGCACACGGTGTATTTCCAGAAGACCAGAGTAGTTAGGGAAAAACATCTAGTTTTTCTTAGAGAAAACGGAGTTACATGTCCTGAATAGATAATATACATAATTATAAATAAGTTGTCCTGACAAACTAAGTTCCAAGTAGAACAGTTTCTAATCACACGAAAGCATTAGGGTTCCAGATTGAAGCAATTCGGATAGTAGGAGGATCTCCTGAACTCCCAGGAGCAACAAAAGCTTCTGCCACAAATGGCACATACCACATGTCTTCAATGCACTGATATCCTTCTTTATAGGTTAGACTGAAAAGTTCCTCAGGTGAAACGCAGACCAAGCCCAACACAGTTTCATGACCGAAGACAACATCAACATATTCGCCCTCACACTCACATGTTGCATGTAATTCGTATCGTACCCTGAATTCAACAATAAAAGGAACGTTTTGATTTTCCTTAAATGCAATGGACAACAGATTATTAGCAAAACATAGAATTGAATCATACCTTGGATAACCTGAACTTGATTTAAAGACTTCTGTACCGTACGTAAATCTTGTCATTTCCACCATACAACGATAGAGAGTCTGGAGGAAGGAATTTGTGTTGTAATAGGTTAGAGATACGACTATATATTTGGGATATGTGTAATCTAATACAATTAGAACATACAACATCATACATATACCTGATAGGATTGTTCATGGAACATTATATCATCTTTTAGCTGCCTGAGTGTTCATTTGGGAGGAAGAAGACATCGAAGACAACCAATAGAGCAGCGAGAAACACTATTGATGTAAGTCACTGGCATCCGATCACCTATGAACCTAAACAACAAAACGCATGTATGTATTGTTTTTCTATCATCCAACAGAACAGGTTTATCAATCTATAAACACAGAATTCGTATATAATAATACCTATTCATTATTTTTTCATAATGGTGATTGTAAGAAGCAACGATCAGACGACTCCCAGGTGAAGATTGAAATATATATGCATCTCCAGTGCTATCTGTAACTGGCAGGCTTGTAACAACAGTAATTGTGGTAATGAGAGGAAGCCGAGATTCAGATTCCCCTGCAAACTCCAAATACTTTGTAACCTCAGATCCAGAGTAGTACACTGTCGCCCTGTCCCCTCTGTACAAAATAACAAAAGATCAGTTAATCCCACATAAAAGTTTAACAAACAAAAGTCAGTATAAGAATACGCAAGAAACCTGTTGTCTTCTATGATGAGCTCAAACCTAAGAACACCATTACTTGAAACCTCTGGAATTGTTAGATGAATAACGCAACCTGTAACATCTGCAATTAAATTGATAGTAAGCAAATAATCATGAAAAATTTGTGTGAAAACAACTTCTGAGGAAAATACCTCCATAATTCACAACTGCTTCTGCCTCTATTGGAACAGCCGCAAACGAAGTTTTCAGAAAAGCATTGACAGGAAACTTGGGATAACTCGGATTGTCAGTCACGCAAAATATGATCTGATCACTCCTTAAGGCAAAGCGAA